GAGGATACAATAGCATTCTTGTTCTTGTTCTTGCAATCATGCTCTTTGTGACCAACTTGCTTGCAACTAGTGCAAAACTGATCATTGTTCATCATACTTATGAGGAGCAAAGGTCGCCTTGACTTTTTTGGGGGTATAGTCCAATCTCTATTTGTAGAGTGAAGCTCTTTGGCTACCCAAGCACATAAACAAGTAGTCCTCACCACCATAGTCTTTGCCTAAGGCACGAGTGAGCTCATTTACCTCCTTCTTGAGTGTCACATTCTCAACCATTAGTGAGGCATCACAAGTGAAACCATCACTACTAGATGAGCTAGAAGTGTAAGTGCTACAAGAGGGGTTAGTGGGAGCAACGATGATAGGCTTATAGAAAGATTCATCAATTATATCACAAGTTAAGCCTACTTCACATGTTACAACATGCTCCTTCTCATTTTGCTCATTAAGTAGAGAGGAATGAGCCTTTTCAAGCTTCTTATGAGCCTTGCCAAGCTCCTCATGGTCTTCCTTTAGACTCTCATGAGATGCATTGAGCTCATCAAAGTCTTGCTTAAGGGCTTTTAGTTCTTTACGCAAGCTTTTGCATTCCCTTCTCTTAATGTCAAAATGTTCTTTAGCATCTTCCAACATATCAATTAGTTCATCTTTAGTTGGTTCATCATCATTATCACTTTCACTTTCATTTTCATGTTCCTCATCACATCCATCATCATAAGTTTGTACCTTAGTGGTCTTAGCTATGAAGCAAGTCGATGGAGTGTCAAAGAGAGAAGGCTTCTCATGTATGGCAATGCTTGCAAGAGCCTTCTTCTTGGTGGTCTTGTCATCATCACTATCATCATCATCACTTGAGGAAGCATCACTATCTCAAGTGACCATATATGAACCACCCTTCTTCTTCTTCTTCTTGAAGGTCGTCTTATCCTTCTTCTCCTTCTTCTTGCTCTTCTTGTCCTTCTTGCTCTTCTTGTCATCGTCATCATTGTCGCTATTGTATGGGCATTGAGCAATAAGATGATCCTTACTTCCACACTTGAAGCATCTTCTTGACTCTTCCTTGTTCCTTGATGATGACTTCTTCCTTCTCGCCTAATAGCCCTTCTTCACTATGAATTTACCAAACTTCTTCACAAAGAGAGCCATCTTCTCATCATCATCATCATCCCAAGAGAATGAACCTTCATCTTCACTTGATGAGTCTTGCTTGGCCTTGCCCTTGGATGATGTGGCTTTGAATGCCATACTCTTCTTCTTCTCATCCTTCTTCTCATCTTTCTTCTCTTTCTTTTCTTCTTTCTCATCATCATCTCTATATGTGTCATCGGTCATCACATCACCCAATACTTGGTTTGGTATCATGGTGTCCAACCCACTCCTCACTAGAATAGTGACCAATGTGCCAAATCTTGATGGCAAGCATCTCAAGAACTTGTGGGAGAAGTCCTTGTCCTTACCTCTTCTCCAAGTGCTTTGAGATCATTGACAAGCACTTGAAGCCTATGGAACATCTCCGGCACACTCTCATCCTCCTTTATCTTGAAGCTTGCAAACTTCTCCTTAAGAATAAATACCTTGGCACCCTTCATGGCTTGAGTGCCCTCAAACGATTCCTCCAACTTCTTCCATGCCTCATGAGCTATCTCAATGTTCTTGATTTGCTCAAATTTTCTCTCATCCAAAGCATCATGAATGGCACTAAGAGCAATGTCATTATTTTAGAGTTGCACTTCTTCGGCGGCAGTGGGAGTTCCGGCATTGGCAACCTCAATCTTGGTCTCCACCACCTTCCACACATTTCTATTGATTGACTTGATGTATGTTGTCATCTTAGCCTTCCAATAAGGATAATTGGAGCCATCAAATTAGGATGACTTTTTGGTGTTGTTGATTTGAGCCATTTTGACACCGAAGGTTGTTAAGCCTCAAATCACGGTGACCATGGCTTCGATACCACTTGAAAGATTCTAATGGCTAGAGGGGGTGAATATCCTATTATAAAAATTCTAGAACAACACTAGACAAGTGATTATTATAAAAGATGGCGAAGCGAATTTTGCGCTAGCACTACACTTGTGTTGCAAGCCACCTACCCAATTCTAATCTCTATGATCTCTAGTAAACACACAAGGACTAAGTTACTAAATTACACCTAGGTGACAAAGCTAGCAAGAGAACTACAACTAAAGAGCTACACTAACTAGCTACAACTACCACAAGCACTACACAAGGTAAAGACACAATGTAATACAAGAGAGAGGTAGAGAGGTATACCACCATGGCAAGTGATCAATCAATGAATACCAAAGAATACCAAGGAGACAAATGATGACACAATCAATTTTTCCTCTGGGGTTCACTTGATTGGTGGCAAGCTAATCCCCGTTGTGGTGATTCACTCACTTGGAGGTTTACGCGCTAATAGGCATCACATGCCTAACCCGCAACTGGGTGCCGCACAACCAACACAAGATGAGGATCCACAAGCCACGCGCAATCCACTAGAGTTGCCTTTGGCGCTCTGCCGGGGAAGGCACAAGAACCCCTCACAATCACAATGATCGAAGCCAGAGACAATTACCTTCCTCCGCTCAATGATCCACCAATCACTGGGCCGTCTAGGTGTTAGCAAACACCAAGAGTAACAAGATCTCCACCAGCCCAAATCGTCCAACTAGGGCCACAAGATGCTAGAACACTAAGCAATGCACTAGAGGCTCTCCAATCTCACTCAAGATGATGAAATCAAGTGTGCAAGTGAGTGGAGTGATGTGCTCAGCTCTCCAAGGGTGTATGTAAGTGTAAGAGGTGCCAAGAGAGTGGCCAAGGCTGGCCACAAGCTCTATTTATAAGCCCACAAGCAAATAGAGCAGTTAACCCTTTGGAGCACTTTCTGCGATGGCACCGGACATGTCGGTGTGGCATTGGACATGGGGTGGCGGTGCCCTCCAATGGTCATCCAATGGCAAGTTTCACTAGCCGTTGGGGAACCGTACAGGGTGGCGGTGGCACCGCCCCTAGGGTGGCGGTGACCACCGGCCAACCCTCCAAAAAACATAGCCTCTAGAAAATAACAGCGATGCACCGCCCTAGGAGTGGCGGTGCCCGCGGCGGTGCCCAGCTCGGTTAGCCCCTCTCTCAAGAAAATTATGGCGGTGGCACCGCCCTGCCAGCGGCGGTGACCGAGCGGTGCACACCAGATGCGCCGGTGCCACCCCTCACCATGCCTCTTCTTGGCCTAGTCCAGGTGGGCACTGCCCTAGGGGTGGCGGTGCCACCGGACAGGGTGGTGGTGCCCCACCAGAGCACCTCCCTCTTGGCCTCCTCAGTCGGTCACCGCCACAGGGGTGGCGGTGCACTAGATTGGGCATGGCGGTGCCCTCGGGACAGCACCGGGAGCCCGGTTTTGCCTCTATTTCTTTGCCAACTTCACCACCTTTGTAAATGTGCTAACACTCTAAGTGTCTCACCATCACGTGCAAGTGTGTTAGCATTTTCACAATTATTTTTCAAAGGTTAATCACTTTCTCACCGATTGTGCACTAGGCCTAAAATGCAATGCAAGTTTTCCAACACCTAGTGGCACTAGATGATCGAGTTGTCCGATAAGAGCTCCCCTCTTAATAGTATGACTATCTATCCTAAATATGATCACACTCTCTATAGTGTCTTGATCACCGAAAACAAAATGGCCCTACAATTATACCTTTGCCTTGAGCCCATTTTGTTTTTCTCTTTCTTCTTTTACAAATTTAGAGCTTGATCATCATCACATGTCCACACCACCACCATAGACTTCATTTCATATGGCCATCTCCATCCATAAGTGCCACCTAGCTCCTTCACTTGGGTTGGACCAACCTATCTCAAATCCATACTTAGAGCTTAGGGTTAGTCCAAATAGGTTTCATCAATTAAGCAAAACCAAACTAGGGCTTTCAACACTAGGCTGCCGCTTGTGTCGTGCCCTAAATGCAGCGAGGAGATCTTGGAGCTCGTCTCTACGCCTGGATCTAAGGTCCCTAGGGCCATCTTCTTCAAATGCCGCCTTCATGAAAGAGATGTGAGTTCATAGTTCACTTGCTTGATTTAGGGTTTGTTGTAGTTGTCATGTAATTTGGTGAGCAAATCCCAATTGCAGGTGCCAGGAACTTGCCCGTGGTACTTGTTTGCGGATAAGTATGAGAGACTGTTCATTCAAAGGGGACTGATTGAAGGCACCAGAGTGGACAGCACCCAAGCAGTGCCTGTGATTTGTGATGAACTTGGAGGCTTGCAGGGAGCAGAACATGATGTGGAGGCACTGGAGACTAGGATTGCTGGCTTGGATGCAAAGTTGAAGAAGCTGGTAGACCTAAGGAAAATTGGAGTTGTTTGTTCTGTTGTTGTTGCAGTGTTTGTGGTTGTTGGTGTCATTAGCATGTTGCTGAAGTAGGATTAGGAATTCTAATGTAAAATAGTTTTAGTTAATGTAGTACTTGTTTCATGACAATGAGTTTCAGTGAATTCCAATGTGTTTCACTGATGCAAATTAGTCACCTTCATTTGTGATGCAATTTTTGATTCATTCAATATCATTGACAGATATGTGATACAATTGACAGGATTTTTTGACAACAATTGACAGCAATGTGGTTGAGTCAATACAAAATAGAAAACAATATCTGAGATAACATCAGTGACATATATTCACTGAAATAGCATCCATTACCATAGTTGTTGTCATTACATCTAGTGTTTGGTCATCCAACCAGGAATAGCAACCATTACCATAGTTTTGGTGCTTGTATTACATATCCTAAGAAAACAGCAAGTTGTTGCATATGATCTATACCTATATGATCAATGCACAAAAGGCAACTCAAGTTGCTGCACAAAAGACAACTCAAGTTGCTGCACGAAAGCCAACTGTAGTTGCTAAACAAGAGCCAACTATAGTTCCTGCACAAAAGACTAGTATCTGGACCTGTACAAAATAACAGTCTCACACTCCATGGCCTTTCCTACTCTCCAGATTGACCTTTCTTGGCCTTCATTGCCTTTTTACTGGGGGCAACAGTGTTCTTCTTCACTGTCTTCTGTCTGGGGGCAGCAGTGTTCTTCCTTGAGGCCCTTCCAGCCTTTGTTGCTGTTGTAAGTGTAGTATGCCTTGTTGGTGGGAGGTTGGAAATGATGTAGGCAGAGTCTGGCAAGGGTTGACTGGTTGGAGTTTGCCTTAGATTCTGTGAAGCCTGAGTATAATTGGTTTTGTCAGTTTTGTAATATGGCACAAATGTAATGATTATAGTCAAGTTTTTTTGGTACCTCTTCTAGTAGTTGTGACACCATGGGGTTCTCCATTTGGGACAGCAGTGTATGTGATTCAGGATCTGGGTGACTCACCTCCTAAACCAATAATACAGTCAAGATATATATGTATACATGTGAATGGTGATGGTGTGGGTGTGCACATACCTGGAAATATTGTTCTACACGAATTGGTTGCTGCTCTGGCTCAGCTATAGTTGTTGTTGCCCTCTTGGTTTTCTTAACAGTTGGTTGTCCTTCCTTCTTTGCTGCACATGTAGCTGAGTTATGACCAGGTTTTCCACAGTGTATGATTACTCCATGTTTGATTAGCATTGGACCATTTGCACCTTGCACTTCATGTGCTGCCCTACTTCTTGCCTTAAGTGGCCTTCCTACCTTCTCATATTTAGGTGGCTGCACTTCTGGACCTCCAACATTTTCCCAGGAAGACTTATCAGAGCATGGAAAAATGGTGTAGCTATATGCATTTTTGAATGCTTCAATGGAGTAAGAGGCTGGTAGAACCGAATCTTCTGGGATTCTTTTATGACTGAGGCATGAAATTGCATGGCTGCATGGTATGCCTGTCAGGTCCCACCTTCTGCATTCACAATGCCTGCCATTAAGATCAACAACATAATTCCATTCTCGGTCATGAACTTCAAAAATTCCATTCCCACTTGGTAATGCATAGCATGTGTTGGACATCTCTGCATGCCTAGCTAACTTTTTCCTAATCTATGGGCATATAACCATGTCTCCCCATTTGTCAGCCAGGTCTTTCTGTTTATTGTAATGCCTGCTCATTAGTTGGGACTTGATCTTCTATAGCATGCTCAAGATAGGTAGTTCTCTAGCTTCCAAGATATACTTGTTGAATACTTCACAAGTGTTGTTCAACAGGATATCACACTTCGGGTACTCACTGAAAAAAGCCCTGACCCATGTGTTTGGTGGCATCTTCTCTAACCAGGCATATGCATCCTTGTTCAGCACTTTCATTTTCTCCATCTCTTGGTTCCACCATGTTATTGTACTTACTCTAGCACAAGCCCACAGTTGATTCTTCAAGTTCTCCCCTTTGAAGTGGCCTTGGAAGTTTTAGTAGAGATGCCTAACACAGAACCTGTGTTCTGAGTCAGGGAAAACTTGTTGAACAGCAGGGATAAGTCCTTTTTGTTTATCTGTCATTATGGTCTAAGGAGTGGTGTTTTCTATGCCAAGATCCTGTTTCAGTGTCTCTAGGAACCACTTCCATAATGCTAGGGACTCTACTTCTACCACTGCCATGGTTACAGGAAAGATACAATCATTTGGGTCTATGCCAACAACAGTTAGTAGTTGTCCCCAAAATTTAGTCTTGATGTGGCAGCCATCTAGACATATCACAGGCCTGCAACCAGTGAGGAAACCCCTCTTGCATGCTTCCAAAGACACATATAGTGAACTGAAGTACCCATCAAGCAAGTTCATGACTATAATTCCATAGCTGATTGAACTGTTCCACTTCATCTCCCTAAATGACGTTCCATGCCAGCCTCCTTGCCCTACACAGCTTCATCCTAGATGGGTTCAAGTTCAGCTCCAACTGAACAGTCCTACCAAAATTGGTCAGGATCATTTTCTCATCAGCCCTAAACTTGTCCAAGTACTTGTTAGCTAGCCATGCTGCAGTACACTTCTTGAGTACCCATTTTTTCTAACAATGGTGATCCCCAACATAAGACTTGATCAAGAAACACTTCATCCTTGAGTCAAAAGAAGCAAACAAGTACCAAGGACAACCTGCATCACAATGTGCTTTGATTCTGGTCCTATCATTCTTTGGCATCTTTATCTCCACCCTTTGTTTGATATTGTACTCTATAATAGCCATTCTAAGCAATTCTACTGATGCAAACTTCATTCCAATTTTGAAAATAGGGTTCTGCATGTCCTTTAGCCTGAAGGTCTTCAAATTCCTCCCAACCTGACCCTCTTCATTAGAATCTGGTAACTCCAACTCATCCTCATCAGATGATGGCTCATCCCATTCCCTATCTGTTGCCATGTTCTATTTGCCAGATGGTGCATTTCTCTTCTTCCCTTTGCTGAGTACCATGCCCTTGGCTGCACCCTCATCAACCATCCCATCATCAACATTGTCATAAAATAGGTCATCGTCGTCATCATCAACTTCATAGTCACTGTATACAAATTCCCCATCTGTACTGCCATCCTTGTCACTGCCTTCGCTGCCCACATCATCATCTCTTTCAGGTGCCACCTTCCTGGGACTTAACACTTTGGGTAGTGTACCAACTGGATTCAACACAATGTCTTCCCAGGCGTTGTCATCAAGTGAATTGTACTGATCAAAGTACAGCACAAAGTTTTTAACCTTATATGCAACTTGCTTCATGATGATTGTTTCTCTATCTGAGTCTACAATTCGCAAACCAGTAGTCAAATCCATCACATGCAACAACCAGTGAACGTTGACATTCTCAAGTCCATAATCTAGCATCAACTTGATCTCATCAATTTCGGAAAAACGCCAGTACTGCACTTTGATATGGTCAAACCAATCCACCTTGCCATCTAGATAAACCCGACTGCTACCAGCCCCACAGAAAAATCCCCCATGATGTACTTCCACAGAGAACTCATCATCATCAGGCCCTAAACATTCAACAAAAACCTAAAGTTGAGTGCTTTGCCCTAACAACCGAATCTGTACATCAAATCCATGTACTACGACACCAGAATCAACTATCACAAACTACATTGAACATAGGTAGGGCTTCACGGCACTTACCATAATCAGGTGCTAGTTCCTCTTGCAGTCGCCGCCGACCGGCCATGGTGCCGCGCCGTGCCACACCGCACTAGATGCGGTGGGGCAAAACCCTCGGTGGACCTCACCCCCTTAATGCGGCGGCGCGGGGACACGGCGGACCTCCGAGGTGGCGGCGAGCTTTGGGGAGGCAGGCGGCGGCTCAGCGCTTGAGCAGAGAGAGACAGGGGAGAGAGACGACGGGAGAGTGAATGAGGAGAGCGGCCAGGTTCGGCGGGGGGTTTCAGCAAAATGGTCGTGCCCTTCATCCAGGGTGGCTTGTCCACGTCGGTTGCTGGGGCTCGCGTGGCACGTTTTGGACCGTTGGTGACTGCGCGAAATATAGATCCAGGACCCACATGGTATCTTTTTTAGTTAGAGGACACATCTGGGAATCGATCAATAGTTTAAGGACCTGCGGTGCAATTTACTCATTAATTTATAATTAATTATCCTTTTGTATACTAGATATATGCCCATGCGTTGCATGGGACCATGATTTTTGTCCACATCTATTGCGGCCAAGAGATATTTTTCATGAGCACCCATTAACCTATTTTGTTGCAGAACCAGAGTAGCAAGCATTGCTCCTTACTGGAAACAAGACACAGCTCGCCATGGTCCCGCTTATCAGCCACATAGTATGATTTGTCTACGAGCAATGAAGCATTTATGATAGGCCGTTTCATTGTGGCCGTGTCCAGAACCAGGGCGCGAACCTTCCCAGAAAATTAGATATTTGGCACCGCTATTGTTTTCGCAAAATAGCCACTCAGTACGTGTGTCACTCATATTCCTGTCATTGCACCCTTTTTTTCTTTTTTCTATTTTCCTCTTTTTGCATACGGGGCTAGAGCTGGAAAGGTCGCGTCTCTTCGTCTGTACGTGATGGGCGATGCTTCCTCTTTCAAAAGCAATGATGGTGCCTGACGCGCCGCCGCCGTCAGATGCGCTGCTGCCTATCGGCACGGCGCTGCAGGTCGACGTGTTGCCACCTCCCGATGCAACGCTGCCGCCCGACACGATCGTCCTTGTGAGAACCATGAAGCCCGTGCGATGTACACGGCGAGTTCGAGCCCATTGCAGCTGGCCACGGGATAGTAGTTGGCGACGTACCGGCTTCACACGGCACAAGCACCTCTCAGGCTCTGCTTCCATGTCTAGGAGGACGTGGTCGATGCGGACTCTGCAGACTCTGCAGACGTGGGCGGAGGCAAGCAGACGATCTTAACGCAAACTTTGTAGACAGGGGTGGACAGGAGATTGAATTTGCAAGTGACAATAACTCTACCTTTTGGGACCATACGTGATTGCGATGCTTTGTTTTTGAATTAACTAATACTTAGCCCGTACGTGATTGCTTTGTTTCGGTGCCTGTACGTGATTGCTTTGGGCGAATTGGCTACATTCGTTTAAATAATTATATATAGTCTAATTTTACCCTAAATCATCATCAATTTCCGCAACGCGCGGGTAACAGGTGAAACCAGCTTAGCTGCAGCAAAATTGGACCACTAACCTCACATAGCAGTTGGGCGGAATACACGTCCTTGTTTGTGACTCACCGTACAGACCGGAAAAAATTGCATTATTGCTTGCAGTAGGAACGCGAACAACGTCCCAGCCAATTTTCTTTGCGAAAAAAACCTGAATGGAATGTCCTCTTAATTATTATTACGGTAGCTAAATATAGCTGGTGTTGTTATCAACGCTGCACTTCTTCCACATCCTCCACATCCTCCACGGTAAATCTACGAAGTTTTGAACATTTACTAATTTACATGATCCCATTATGTAACTTTGACCATAACTTTTTATTTATGAACATTGTAATAGAAGTTTGTATAATTACTGCTGCATTTATGGAATATACTGTTGACGACATATACAAACGGCACTATATTTCCGTATGATCAACCTAAATAACTTTAGTCCTTTGCATGCATATGCATGGTTGACCAGTTCAAGTCAGTCCCCGGCAGCATCGGCGACCACAGTTACGTACCTGCAGGGCACACCGCACACTGGTATAGGAATTCGCCATGCCCCGGCCCGCTCGAGGAGACCATCACGTCACGCACGTACAGGATTACTGTATAAATAGAACGCACTTCCTGCTTGTCCAGACCACGAAGACACGAACAACCCAAGAACAAACACATCTCTTACACTGCTCTCAGGTAGCTAGAGCCCAGGTGCGAGAGAGCTAGCTGGTGTCGTCGACGTCCATGGGCAGCCTTCCAACCACCGTCGGCGAGATGACGCGTGCGCAGCGCGCCGATGGGCCGGCAGCCGTGCTAGGCATCGGCACGGCGAACCCGCCGACGTGCTTGGCCCAGGACGAGTACCCCGACTACTACTTCCGCGTCACAAACAGCGAGCACCTCACCGGCCTCAAGGGCAAGCTCACCAGGATCTGTAACAAGTCGGGCATCAAGCAGCGCTTCATCCACCTGGACGAGCAGCTCCTCGCCGCGAACCCGGACTTCAAGGACCGCACGCTGCCATCCCTGGACGCCCGTGTGGAGATTGCCACCGCCGCCGTCCCAGAGCTGGCCGCGTCCGCGGCGGCCAACGCCATCGCCGAGTGGGGCCGCCCAGCCATCGACATCACCCTCCGGCGCGCGCGCCCCGAGCGCCGACCGCCGTCTCGCCTCGCTGCTGGGCCTCAGCCCCACGGTCTCCCGCACCATACTCAACCTCCACGGCTGCTACGGCGGGGGCAGGTCGCTCCAGCTCGCCAAAGAGCTCGCGGAGAACAACCGCGGCGCGCGCGTCCTCGTGGCGTGCTCCGAGATCACGCTCATCGCCTTCTACGGGCCGGAAGACGGCTGCCCCGACAACATCCTTGGCCAGGCTCTGTTCGGCGACGGCGCCGGTGCCGTCATCGTCGGCGCCGACCCCGTCAGCCCCGTGGAGCGCCCGCTGTTCGAGATGGCTTTCGCCTCGCAGACCACCATACCGGAAACCGAGGATGCCATCTCCATGCAGATCAACAAGGGTGGCATGGAGTACCACATCTCTAACCAGGTTCCCCGGTTGCTGGGGTGCAACGTGGAACGCTGCTTGGCCGACGCGTTTGGTGCGCTTGGCATCCATAATGCCGATTGGAACGACCTCTTCTGGGCGACGATCCATCCCGGCGGTCGTGCCATCCTAGACCACATCGAGGGAGTGCTCGGCCAGGACGACGGGAAGCTTGCGGCCAGTCGCCACGTTCTCAGCGAGTTCGGCAACATGAGCGCATTACCGGAAACAGTGACTTTGCCGTGTGCCACAGGCACTCGGCAAAACCAACAAAACAGTTAGCAAAGGCTTTGCAAACAGCACACGGCATCTATAGTGCCGGCAAACGTCTCTTTGCCGATTCTTTTCTATCGGGCACTCGGCAAATAATTTACCGAGAGCTGAAATCGACGCTCGACGAAAAAAAGTAACGCGACGGCGTTTGTCGAGTGTCCCAGACCTGACACTCGGCAAACCTGAATTCTTTGCCGAGTGTCCAGTATTTAACACTCGGTAAAGACTGGCCCAGAACGTACAAATATTGGCTTCTTTGCCGAGTGTCCCGTATCTGACACTCGGCAAACATGCCTTCTTTGTCGAGTGTCAAATCCCGGGCACTCGAAAAAACCGTCATCTTTGCCGAGTGTCAAATACTGAACACTCGGCAAAGACTCGCCCAGAACGTACAAATCTTGGTTTCTTTGACGAGTGTCACAGCGCAGACACTCGGCAAAGAAGCCATTTTAGTCCCAGAATGCACAGATTTTGGCCACGTGTCCTCTTTGCCGAGTGTTTTTACCCTGGCACTTGGCAAAATGCCTCTTTGCCGAGTGTAACACTCGGCAAAGCGACCATATATTCTCTGTTTTTATTATTCGGCCATGTATAACGTACCCCACTCAAATAAACATTACATGCATCACACATAGTTCACAATAAGTATCACATGCAGTTCATATAGATATATCGACAATACATAAATGCAAATAAACTTCAAAATCACTAGTAGGTTCATTCACCACCACAAATAGTCATAAGTAGTCATAGGTAATCCACAAATGCAAATGCAAATAAAATCATAAGTAGTCACTTAGGTCACGAGTTCCACTGCGACCACGCTGGGTCATGAGGCTCATTCGATGCCGCCGATTGATTCTGCACAAAGGAGAAGTGATTGCATCTATGAGACAAGATTGAACAACACGTATGGTCTCTCTGCTGCCTAACTAGTATAACTCTTGCAACTATCAGCAATATCTTCTCAGTTGCATTGTGCTCAAGTATGATTGCTTAAGTACTAGTTGGTAACAAACATATAGCATTAGTCACTAAGTTTCTAGTGTCTGGGCATCTTTGTAAGATTGATTCTGCATAAACTAGAAACGGTGATTATAAGGCTGTAAAGTGACTCACAGTGCCTGAAACAGTATTTGGAGCAGGTTGAGGAGGAGGGACTGGCATCGGTGGCGGAGGTTGACCAATTGCAGCGTAAACACCCCTCATATATTCAAACATATGCAGCAGCTCTGCCTCCATCCTCAGCCGCTCTGCCTCCATCATCTGCCGCTCTGCCTCTAGCTCCTCCCGGCGCCTCGTTTCTTGTTCCATCTGAGCCTACAATATTTCATCCCAATGTTACAATGCAATGCAAAAATATATATAAATCAATGAACGATGAATAAAACAGAAATAACCTGGAGTACGTTCATCTGGAACCGTATAGAGTCCGGCTGTGGGTGTATCGTCGGGCTAGAACGAGTGCTCCGTGCTTGAATCTGGGAGAGAGTGAGAGTACTGGCCGTGTCGATTGTGCCATCGCCAATCCATAATTGGCCATGCTTCTTGCCGCTCTTTTAGGGAGCCTCTCTATAAGAATTTCCGCATGGTATTGGATCACGGCCTGGATGCGCGCCTCGTCGTGCATGCCCTTGACGAGTTTCTTGGCGACTTTGTTAGCCACAGCATCCGCCTTGGCCACGTATCCCTCCTCGCATATAAAGAAATCATGCATATAGACGCTAT